TTTCCCGAAAAACTGAGAGAAATTATCTATGAAGGTGGTTATTTTGACGAACATGTTTATAATTGCGATGAAACTGGTTTATTTTGGAAGCTGTTACCGTCGAAGTCGCAAGCAATAGCAAGCGGCCCACATAATATCAGACACAAACAAAATAATCAACGCAATGTTTACAGCAAACATAATCATGATTTTATTCGAATACTGCCTGACACATGTGATGATACATCAATTAACTAAACCGAGGGTTTATATGTGCTTTTTATATGTTTTTCAATGCACGACCTCCCTCTTTCACGACGTCCCTCGGTAAGTCGCGGCCCTCGATAAGTCGCGGTTTTTGCTTGGATCCCAACACCCGCGACTTAGCGAGGGGCCACTGTACTCTGGTCTCTATGTACTCTCATATGAGTGATGATTATGTAATCATTGATTCATTTAAGAATTATTTAATTTATTGTTAAAATAATTAAATGATTATAATTTCATTATTATATCTTTGTTTTCAGAGTTGAATTTGTCTTCTAATCTTCTGACTCGTCTTCCAAATGAACTCAGTAAGATGGTTGCTTTAACATCGTTAGATATATCTGAGAATAGATTCATTGATTTTCCCGACGTGGTTTACAGTTTATCATGTCTGAAAACGTTTAACGCTAAGGCAAATATGATTACAGGTATGATTCATAATTGTTTATGATATGCAATGCTATCACATGACAATAGTGCATACTGTAAAACATGTCTTTTTTGCGAATTTAGTGAGAGAACTGATTCACTAATTCAATATGTCGTTAATGAGTTTATTATCAATTCAAAATGGCCGCCAAACAAGAACTCAACAATGGCAAGAGAGATTCGCTAAATCAGCATTATGCTATTACGTCATTTTACCACAATTCGCTAAAATTGCATGCCGCTTTTTCAACATGTTTTACAGTATATCTTTTACAGTTGTTGCATTTATTGCGTAATATGTTCATTTTATTCATAACAGGACATTATACGAGAAAAACAAATCATGCGACAGCGATACAAATTTCTGGTCGTCTTCTTCATTTTCTAACCTTTATTTATGTGCTCACGACACTACCAATCAAATTTGCATCTATTTTTCTATAATCTTAGACCAACTGGACATAATTTTCTATGTTACACATTTCTGGCTTTAGGGGTATCTACCTTAATTTGGTTTTGCACATTCTTAGCAACTGTAGTCAGGTTGATTGATGTTTTGAATGTAATATCAGTGGTAATTGTTTTAATGTGTATAAACCATCTGCACGTTGGACTTGTTTTGGGGAACTGCTTCTCAGTTTCAACTGTAGGTGGCACTATAACCCTACCTCTTATATTGTGTCCAACAAGGCATTTGATGTAATATTAGATTAGAAAAACCTGTCAAAATTGGAACATATTATCGTACTTGTAATTTTCAAGTTGTGCTCTATGCTTATGCTCATTTTGGTCAAGACCTTTAGCCAGTCAGACATTAAATCTTTCGGTACAAATATAGTGGTGGAAAAAATTGTTATGATTACAAAATCTTAATATCAATAGAACTGACATAACATGGAATGTTTGAAATAAATTTGAAATGTGGACAACTTGTGCAGACGATAATGATAATTTTGCTGTGGCTTTTTGGTAATTTTTTGTGAACTGTGAGTTTATTGGTTGCACATACCCCTTGAGAAATTATTTTAATGTCCCAACAGGTAATCTAGGTTATGTTTATTTTTTTGTGTCTAAGTCAAACATCTTTGTGAGTAACTAATCATGTGATATGAGGTTGTAAACCACACTTTGTGATTGAATGTGTGCAATGCATTATGGGAAAGCCTTCCATTGAACCTATTTTGAGAAGTTGTTTATCAGGAACCATATCCATAACAGTATTAAACTTTTTTAGTTCAGCACCAAGCTAAATTTTGAAATATGAAGTAATTATTTCAACATAAAAAACAACGCTAAAGATCAAAAAGAACAAAAATTACTAAATGAATCCAGTGACATGTAATTTTAAAATTCTACACAAACTTCCTTATAAGGCAGGTTGAGCCAAATTTAAATTTGTTTACCACTGAGTATGTTACTGTGCAAATATGCAATGAATTATGGGATGGAAATTCACATTGTATATAAAAGAAAACTATCACACTGGAAACTTTCTAAGTTGAATGTTGATTTTTTGTAACAATATTAGGATTGATATGAATAATAATATATGACTATCATCCCAGATCACTGAGTGAAATTTTGAGATATGATATGATATACGAGATATTTTCAAAACCAGTGCAAATTATCAATCATTTTACTTTTTTGTTCATATTCTGTATCCCATATACCAATGATATTTTTTCATCTATATAGATATTGACACGCAAAGAATACAAGAAATACCAAACCTCCATGATGTATATTTAAATGACAATCCATTAAGTGAGGAGACATGTCTTGCCATAGAAGTGCTGAATGGTAGATTGACTGTACATATCGGGCAGAGGAAATAAAGCACTGGAATGTCACTCTCTAGTGGTGAGATGATCTATACAAGTAGTGCCCTCTAGTGGTAGATTTGATTTTTCCTCCTGTGAACTCCTGCCGAATCAGAAATATTTTGCTTATTTACACAATCGACGAATCCATCTATTACATGTATGCAGCTGTTTGCTTCTAAAAATAACTGCATGATTCTGTTTCTTTTAAATTATCGTCTATTTTATATTCTGTATTTACACTTACTCCGGAGGCTGTGATAGTATCCATAGTAACAGTCAGTTGTTGATCCATCCATTAATTCTGTTGGGGCTGGCTGGGTTAGAACATGTATTGTCCTGTATTTTTTTCCTGTACTTGGCAACACTCCCAGTTTTTAGCCCCCGTTGGCTACAGTCAGAAATGAGCTAGTAGATGAATGGTCTCCCCTGTGTGTGTGTAATTGAAAGATGCTTTCTCATCAGAAATTTGATCTAGTCCACAACATTTTGACCATGGAGGAGAAGGTCATGTGACCATATTAACATACATAAATATAATTTTTATTTAGCTATAATAGATACAATTATGATACTAAATGAATGTTGACAATATTTATGACTGAGTGTAAAGCCTTAAATTAAAGCCTTATTGTCATTGAAAGTGATGGAATGGAATTGTTCATATAGGTGACAATTCATCATTCCTTAAACAAGGTGATTTTTCACTCTATGGGACCTTTGGGTAGCTTTAGTTATGTGTTTTTATCAAATATTCACGTTTTATATGATATTAAATCAGTCATTTTTATTTTTATATTAGTTACAGTACATTTGTCTTCTAATAGAGAAGTATGTACTAAAGCTACATATCTTGCTCATCCATAAATGTAGATACATTTCTAGTAGTTCACTCTATGTATAAAAAGAGACAAGTTCCCAGTCAGTCTGAATGTTGTCTTCTCTCAAGACAGTTTCACTATAAATGATATAGGTTTCTGTGTTACATTCAGTAAAAATAATGTCCAGATTTGAAACGAGAGTGTAAATTAAGTAATTTAAGCAATTTTAAAACATTTATAGCTCCCATATTTTCTAAACCACGCCTTGAAGCTGTTTTATTTTGAGATTATACCAGTAATAGTGTATAGCCTACAAATTTGTCAGTTACTTCTTAAATTTAGTAACTTGGGGACTGTGTACTGCAATGACTTGTTTTTCTTCAATTGCATATTTTTCTGTGCCTTGTTTCTTTCACTGGTGATTCACCCCAAACGCTGATGTTGTACTTACCTCCGACCTCCAGGTTGCCATGGTACCCATTGAATAGATTGCTGAATTACTTAATTTTGTTATGATGTGGCTTTAAATTTTCATTACTTTACCAGTAGCCTGACAAACATTTTTTGGTCAGATTGTTTTCAATATCACTTTTCTCATATAGATCCTTGATTTGATTATGGTACAGAAAAATATATGGCGAGTGTCACATGGTGGAGCATGATGTGCTCACTCTTTTTGAAACATCTCACATAACTTCTTGTATACCATGGAGTCCATATAAATTTCTCTTACTGATTTGTAGTGTAGTGTAGTGTACTTATGTGTTGTTTTTTGTCAATTGTTGTCAGTTCAAGAACACAAAAGAATGATTATGTACTATATGCAATGGAACAGAGTACAGTTTTATGACTGTTTTGAAAATAAGTATATATCAATAATGAATGAATTAATATTGGAGATACTGTGTAAACATTTGTGTCAAGTAAGTTGTAAATGAGTAAATGAGAAAATAATATTAAGTTCCCACATCTCATCTTTGTTGTAGTTATATTGTCATAGCATTATTGCCCATAATGGTGGCCATTTTGAATTGAAATTGTGAAAAATCAATGACACTAGTAGAGATGTGACCCCATGATCCAATGTTTTTTTAGTTATTTTAAAAATATTGTGCAATATACACATGTAGAATTTAATTGCAATCTGATAACTAGAAAATAGAGGATCATTCTATATTAATTGTTGTATACTGAAGTACATTTTTGTCACCTTAAATTTTGATCTGTTACCAATGAGATATTATGTCAAAAATCACCCTAATTATATAAAACAATACATAAAAATGGCAAAATGTTGCATCAATCTTTTGAAGGGATGTGTATATATCGTATTCTTTGAGACTATTACATCATTAAGTTTTCTGAGAAGTATGTTATGCTTACCTCATGGATGAGGAATTGTACACTAATGGCAGCAGTTGATCACATCACGCAAGTCACTGAGCTCACTATATTGAATTACCATGGACTAAGATTACTAACTTTCAATATATTTTACTTTGGAGTAACATGATTAATGTTATCTAGTAGCATAAATTGTTGTGTATGGAACATCAATTTATGCAAATCATTTGTTTTTAATAGTGAATTATGTTCCTAAATTGTTACTAGTTAAAATTATGTTCATTCTGTGGTGTGATCTTTTTTTTTATCATAACTTTTGATATACAGTTGTCTATAAATTGTCATGAAGGTTTATTGACGCTGACTGAGATAGCTCACATTCAGTGTTTTTAATGTGTTACCTTGTATACTTGATTTACTGTACAGAGTTACAAAAGATGAATGTGTTTCTGTTTGCAAATTTAGAAAATATAGCCATTTAAATTACTGCATTATATTTGAACATTTATAGTAGCAACTCCAGTTAAGCCTAATCTCACAGAAAAAATAGATTGAAATTATAAAAAGGTGGATTAACATTGTGAACAATATAAACACGGGTGTGCCATGACCCTTATTCAATCCCTTCAATGTAATTTCATAAATTTGTTTCACCCTCATTCACACAGCCATATACAAACCATGGAGGTGTGGACAGCAATGGCATGTCAATTTTACTAAACAGCATTTAAAAACTGAGCATACAAAGGTCTATAACCTACCAATTATTTTAGTCTATGCAGAAAATATGAGGCTTGGAGTGTTTATTGTTATGTCTTGAAAACAGCTTACAAATGAAAACATTTACATTTTAACTGCGAATATTAACATTTGTCACCAGTATAAACACAAAGATTGGGTAATAATTGAGAATTATGCTTTAAAGGAACTATCATTGTTGTACAAGGTCACAGTTATGTTTAAGATAAACTGTCAGTTCAGTTCAGTAACCTTGTCAAATGGCCTTTCAACCTGAATATATTACTGTATATACATTTAACGACTTCCCTAATGATGCATTTACCGTTGTGAAATTTTTTTGTGTTTTTCTAACATCCTGCGTTTTTTTTAGATAATTAATAATATTTACAATTAAATTATATATTGTTGAAGTATTCATGTTTTTCTTTGTATATGTCTCTGAGGTCAGTAGCCAGAATCAGATTATTTAAATCGTCATGTTTGCGTGATACCAGAAGCATGTTTATGAGATTTTCACTAGTTTAACGGCCTTGGATGTGGTCGGCAAGTGTATATGGATTGAAATGGTGAAAATCGTGTGGTATACTATGGTATATGGAGTGAACTTGTCAAATCACAGTCACAATGGTTAAGTCAATGCGAAGCTACTTACAAGATTGTACCTGATTGGCTACCCAACCCTAACATTCTAAGAGTCAGACCAATCAGAGAGCAGCTTGCTTGTGGACAGATTTTTTTTCGACGTATATAATTGTATTTCGGTAGGCTTTCGAACACCTTGACACGTTCAAAATGTCATGAATATTCAGTGTAATGTCGCACAACTGCAATATCTTATGTAAATTTATGTGAATAATGAAACAAGCATACACATTTATACCAACACATCAGTTGGGCGTGATTGGCCGGTACAATTCTTTAGGTGCGTTTGATTTATTGCAAGTCAGCCAATACACTTATGCCACTTATGGCGTGCATCGTTCAGACATTGAACTTCACTTGTGCATTACCCTAAACATGAATTTATCCTAACATAAAACAGATTTGGCTTTAATCTGATTAACAAATCTTCGGATAATAAGTTTGTATGAATCCTGAAAAAGTAGTTAAAAAGCGAATTTGTTGATTTATAACTCCACAAACTACTTAACTAATGAAACCCTTGACAAGAATAAAGGTAATCCCGAGACAGATAACCTGAAAGACTCCCTGTCGTCAATGAGGTTCTGTATCCCCTAGCAGAGAGATAATCTCTTTTGCTCACTTAAGTGACATGGACATCGAGAGATCAATAATGAATATACAGTTTTATTTATTAAAGTAGCTAAAGCTTGAATCCATGACGTGATTTTATAGTTGATCCTTTGGATTTATTTCTCGGGTTCAATCGATCACATAATTCGGATCCATTTATTGTAATTAGTTCACTGACAACATATTATTGACATTTCCAATGCATACCTAGATTGAAAAGTTGTCAACAATGTATATCTTTTTCATTCAGCATTTCATCTTTGTTTAATGAACTTTAGATACATTTAAGGAATCATTATTTTTAGAATATTTACAGTGCCTTTATTTAAATTAGTGATTTACTGCAATTTCATCGTTTAGGGGTTTATGGCATTCTAAAATTGTAGACAAAGACTAATCATTGCAGGATGTAAAATATCATACCATTTTAGATATTGAAAAAATAGCTGTTTCATTAATAATACAAATTTCAATACAAATCACCTGATCATACTCATACTTGAAGTCTATAGATGGCAAGTTTCACAAGTTAAAGTGGGGGTCAGAGTAGAACACGGTAAGTTTCAATATAATACATTAATTGTTATCTAAATACTTGCACAAACACACACACACAGTAACAACTCGAGATCACGGAAACGCTTGCCACTGTAGGTAGGCGCACTACTTGCCATGATAAGTATCAAAAACAGTTGGCTCGAAATAGCCATCACTCAGTGACTAGTTGAAAACACACGAAATAATAATTGACACGAAAATCGAATAATAAGTACAACCAATTAAGACGAGTAATGTAAATAATAATAATATTGATGTGAAGATTACAGTGTTAGTTCAAATGCTAGATTCGAACTC